CCACCCTACAAAAAAAAACAATTTTTTTTTTTCCCCCCCCCCCCCCCCCAAAGCTGTATATAGCTAATTATAATGGGAGTAATACTGACTTCTGAGTCAATTCTGACAATAGACTTCTGAGAACAATGCAGTTAAGAAGAACATCTGCATAGTCCAGCCCTGGTAATTTTTTGTAGGTGTTTTGAATTGAGTTGTTACTAAATATAGGTGTTAATTTAGGTGTCACTAAATTAAGAATAGGATTCTTTTTTGTAGATCTGGGTGGTAAAGGGGGGGCTGCATTATGCCACCAAGAGCGTGGTCTTTGGGTCCCACTTAACTTGCTAGTGAAACTATATTCTTGAAATGTGTGTTCTGATGAGAAAATACTGGCTTCGCCCATTTGCTGTAACATTTGGGGGGACTTGATTTTCCTGAAAATCAGAACTCTTCAGCCAGGTCTAACAAGAAATGCTTTTAAAACTGGTAGAGGTTTTTTTTAGGGCCAGAAATCTTTACCAAATACATGGTGGAAAAAACAAATAGAAATGTAATCCTTCTGCATGATAAGAAGGAGCCATACAAATTAATCAGCTAATGCTGCAGAGAAGCTGTAACTTGCTGTGACTTAGAAATAGCATTATGATACTTCTATATAAACTGAACACTTATTTTACTTATTTCTGTTTTTTTCCTCTGTGTAGGATGTCTGCTGTGATTATACATGTTTCTGTAGGTAATAAAAACATGAATTGTTGTGTTGGCTGTAACATATCTAAAATTAACCACTTATTTGCAGACTTAACCCATCTGAAAGAAAGAAATGTTGAGGACCTTTCAGGAGGAGAACTTCAGAGATTTGCTTGTGCAGTTGTTTGCATTCAGAAGGCTGATATGTATGTTCGTTTACTTCTGTTACACATTGCTTCTATTAATCTGTCTCAGAATATGGTCCTCTAAATTACATTTGTTGTTAGAAACACTACTTTTGTTTAAATATTTAAACAAAAGGATTTTTTAAAAAAATGTTTTTACCAACTCAGCAGCCGAGACCCATATTTGCTCCATATATAATTCCTGGGTTTTTTATGCTTTAATTCATCTGACTGGAAATAGCTAATTTCAGAGGCCAATAATAATTTTCAGCATTACAACTTCATAACCTTTCCCGAATCCTACATAAATGTATCCTGTTTGACAGCGTACCTCACTTAGCCTCTCTGAATAAGAAATGGACAGATCCTTCCCCACCTCTGGGGACTCGTGTCCCTCTTCTCCTGTCTTGCAACCAGGAAATTACTGTCTAGTCTATGCTGTTTCCCGACTCCTTGGGACAAAGAAAGCAAGATCATAAGAGTTATGGGGGTTTGGGTTTTTTGTTTTGCTTTGATTTTTCTTTAATTGTTTTGTTTGGGTTGCAGAGTTTTTGGTTGGTGCAGTGGGTTTTCTTGTTTGTTGTTTTGTTTTTCTCTTTTGGAAGATGTCCTTCTTCCAGTCTCCTAAAGTATTTTTGCACTTTTCAGTTCATGTTAAATTTAAGCTGAATCAGAACTGAGTGCACAGGATTCCTAACTGATTGCTGATTTCTCGTAACATTTGATAACTTTGTCAGAGCTTTTGGCAAAGTAATACTTAACTCGAACCGTTTAACAATTTCACATGACAGTTATCAGAGATTCAAGGCAGGTGTCAGTACATAATTCCCATTTTTGTCTCAATATAAATAATTTTTTATTTCTGTGTATTTAATGATTGAAATGTTAGTATTAGGTTTGAATATGTAGAAAGCTTGCACTCATTAAGACTTCATTCTTTCTTTTGGGGCTAGCTTCATGTTTGATGAACCTTCTAGCTACCTAGATGTCAAGCAACGCTTGAAGGCTGCCATTACTATTCGATCCCTAATAAACCCTGACAGGTAAATACAAACTTTAAACATTCTGCTAGACTGTAATAACAAGTGACTGTTTCCAGAGGGAAGAAACATCCAGTCCATCTCCCTAGAATGCTGGCTTCTCAGTATGGTACTATTAGATGTTTAAAATATTCTAAGTCAGTAATATTCTATTCCTTTGCATTTTGTAAAATTAGTTCCTATAGTTTCTGTACTATTTCAGCATTGGGGTAAATTTTATAATAACAAAGTGAAAATATAGGTGGTTATTTTTCACCTGAATATTGCTGTTCCATCCCCTTCTCACAAAGATTTTTTTTTTCTTAAAATGCGCTAAGTATTTTTTGCTCCAGTCAATCAATATCCTTCCACTTACTGTACATAAAGAAGCTGCCAGTTTACACTGAAGATGGACTTTCAACTTGTCATTCACAGTATTGTTTATTGGACAGTTTAAAAAAATGCTTATCAGAGATTTGAACTCTATTTAGTGTAAAGCTAAGAAACCGTACTAAATGAAAATCAGGTTCATAGCTTTTGCTTATGCAAGACTAGACTAAGAAAGAAAGAAAAAATGTTTTGTATTGAAGTATAAAAGCATCTCTCTGGCTCTATTTTTCAGGTACATTATTGTTGTAGAGCATGATCTAAGTGTGTTAGATTATCTCTCTGACTTTATCTGCTGCCTGTATGGTGTGCCAAGTGCTTATGGTGTTGTTACTATGCCTTTCAGCGTAAGAGAAGGTAATTCTTGCCATATTTCTCTTTTTAAACATACCAAAAAAATTCTGTGGAAGAAAAAAAAAGTGCCAAAATGCTAGTTGTCTATTATGTGAACACGTCTTCCTCCTGTTACAGTTCAGTAACTAAAAAAATACTGGTTTAGTTTGTGCAGAATTTCTGTTTTACATGATTGTAAATTTGTAACTCAACCCAAAAGTCTTAATTATGAAATGCCCTTTGTCTCTTGCTATGGACATAATTTTGATACTTGCAGGTGTTTTGTAAACAGTGTGGAGTTACACAAAAGACCCTATAAATAGTAGAGAAAGGGCAGGAGACAGTTTGCACAGTACAGAGGTACGTAGTGTTCAACTGAATTGACCACACTTGTAGCACTGAGACTCAGTAATAAATGTTTTTGTGAGAATGGGTCCAACAGCAGTAGTTTCTTTAAACCGTACACACATTACTAATACTAGGTTTTCAGGAAGAGCTTCTATATCCTTCCTGTAATTTCAGTAAGATTTTTCTTCATTCAGTTTGCATAAGGTATACGCTTTCAAATAGGAGGTTTTGTTGCTTCTCTTAACGTGCCATTTAAAATCCAATGTTCTCCTTATCTGATTGGAATTTACAGCCAAGAGTTGAAATTCATCTTGTCTTGCTTTGTTGTAGACCTTTTTTAATCATCTTTTTCCTCCCTTCATAGGCATAAACATTTTCTTAGATGGCTATGTTCCAACAGAAAATCTAAGGTTTCGAGATGCATCTCTGGTATTTAAAGTGGCTGAGACAGCTAATGAAGAAGAAGTTAAAAAGATGTGTATGTACAAATATCCTGGAATGAAAAAAAAGATGGGAGAATTTGAACTATCCATAGTAGCTGGAGAATTCACTGATTCTGAAATTATGGTGATGTTAGGGGAAAATGGTAAGTGCAATTCTTGTTGGAAACAGCTTCTACAGCCCAAAATATGTTCCTGAAGCCCTTTTTCAGTCTGGGAGCCAGGCTTCAAAATTACTGGTTTTGAGTCAGGTTGAACTGCTTGTTTTCTAGCGAAGATGTCACGCCATGAGCTTGCTCTCTAAATAGCGGGAACTTGAAGTTATTGAATGTTAATGATGTCATTGTGTTTGTCTGTTACCCCATTTTAAGAACTTAGATTGGCAGGATGATGACTGACCTGGTGAGCTTAGCCACAAGTCTAGACTATTGTAGCTTTAGATGTCTCTTCCATTTGAAAAAGCAAGTAATAGCAGGTGCTGCTTGCTGGAAGTGAATATAGGAATTCTCAAAGCGGTCTATTTTTTTTTTTTGTGTCAGTGACTTAATTGTTAATTGTTAGAGGTCTAAGTTACTAAAAAGTCTGAAGTAATATGTAACTTGCATTTTATTTTAGGAACTGGCAAAACTACATTTATCCGAATGCTTGCAGGAAGACTTACGCCTGATGAAGGAGGTAGTGCTTAATACCTTAGTTGAAACCTATTTTGAAGATACTGGAAAGGCTCTTGTTTCCATTATAAATTTTATCTTTTTACAGGTGAGGTCCCAGTTCTAAATGTCAGCTACAAACCACAGAAGATCAGTCCTAAATCTACAGTACGTTTAAGCCTTATTTATTAAGTATTGTGTTTGCTATAAAAAGCACGTTCTTATTACACAGGTAGAATTTCTTTATGCCTGGAACAAAAAGCTCTATTAATTCTATTCTTGTTTTCTTGTGGTGTGGTGCATAAAACTGAGTGGCAGCATTTTTCTTTTAATAGGGAAGTGTCCGTCAGCTACTGCATGAGAAGATCAGAGATGCCTATACGCACCCCCAGTTTGTAACTGATGTAATGAAGCCTCTTCAGATAGAAAATATCATTGACCAGGAGGTACTGATTGCCTTGGACAACATCTTAACTTTTCTTCTTTAATTCTCTACCTGTACCTGAACTAAATATGGCCTTATTCCCTCTCTGCCCCAATAGGTTCAAACATTGTCTGGTGGCGAGTTGCAGCGCGTTGCATTAGCTCTTTGTCTTGGTAAACCTGCGGATGTCTACCTAATTGATGAACCTTCAGCATATTTGGATTCTGAACAACGTCTAATGGCTGCTAGAGTCATTAAACGGTAAAGTATACATGATGGGAAAAATACCTGAAATTTTCAGTAGTTTCACACTAAGTTTACATTCAGCTCTCATTTTTTTTATTTCTGTTTCAGTTTCATTCTCCATGCTAAAAAAACAGCTTTTGTGGTAGAACATGATTTTATCATGGCTACGTATCTTGCCGATCGTGTGATTGTTTTTGATGGCATTCCTTCCAAGAACACGCTTGCAAACAGGTAAGAGACTTGTTTGGATTAGTAAGCAAGATAAAAGAGGACAACATAGAAATAAATTGTTTATCAGGAGCATCAACAAAAATAAGGAGGTGAAGCATCCTTGCCTATGGAAATTTGAGCTACGTTTAAAGTTACCCAGGAGTGTCTTGGGAGTTCTGGCTTTTGTTTTGAAGCAAGCAAAAGAAAATGGGATTGACCCATACTTAGAGGCTGCCTAGACACAGAGTTGGGGCATAGTTGGAGAATGTAACCAAGCCCTCAAAAAATAGCCCAGCTCCTGGCTTAAACTAGCGTTAAGCAACCGCACACCAATTAAATTACAATCAGAGGAGAACAAGGAAGTGGCATCAATTGCGAGGAATGAAAAAGGGCCAACTGTAAACTAAGTATGCTTATGGAAGTAACTTTCAGCTGTATTAAAAGCAAGCTAAGGGTACATGGATGTAAATACTGACGTGCAAGGCTTGACAGCGACATAGAATGTACACCATCTGCTTTTACTCCCTTTTGGTACGTCTACTTTTGTTCCTTTAAATAATTTCATGTAAATTACAGAGACTTTTTGAGGAGCAGCCTTATTAGAAACCAGGCTTTTAGAACAGTGTAATTACCAAGTACTTAATGTGAGCCAGAAGAAGTAAACACACTGGTCGAGCAGTGTTGTTTACTGTGTTTACAACACAGTGCTAGCCTAGTTTTGATGGTATTCCTTCTAAGAACACACTTGTTTGAATTAAAAAATCATGATCATGTAACTGTTTCTCAGCATCCATGTATGTTACGGTCTTTGTTGCATCTTGCTAATGGTGCCACTCTTGGATTTTTTTCTCTTTGAATGTAAATAACTCAGTGTGCCAGCACACCCATGTACAGATACAAAGTAAAACAAGTCTGAAGACTTGTAGCACCATGCTGAGATACTGCTCAAAGATAAGAGTAGCAGTTGTGACTTTATCTGAGACATAACTGATTGAAAGTGTAGCCCATCCTAGTATGTCAAATACAGATCACACTTGTGTTACCAGATTTGAATGAGCTTAGGATGGAAATCAAAGCTGCCTGTAATCTGCATAGTATAGAACTTCTGAAAATTTAGCTGGAATGTTCTCTCTTAACAGTCCACAGACTCTTTTGGCTGGAATGAATAAGTTTTTATCCCAACTTGAAATCACTTTTAGAAGAGACCCCAACAATTACAGACCAAGAATAAACAAACTCAATTCAATCAAGGTAAGAGAGAAGCATTTTTACAGTAAAGAAGCCATGACTGTTTAATATAAAGCCAGGTTTTAAAACAAGGAACAAAATGAAGACTAACCTGGTAGTTTTGCTGTGCTGGAAAACAGCATGTGAAACGAGTAGTAAGAGTAATAAGGAAACTAGTATAGGCAAGTGTCTTTTATTTCAACTGTGTTCAAGTCTGCCAAAGACTACTTCAGGTAACATTCACCTTTTTTCTCTTCCCAAGGATGTGGAACAAAAGAAGAGCGGAAACTACTTTTTCCTGGATGACTAAATATTGAATCTGAGCATCTTTGTAACTGGCATATAGGAATGCATATTGGAATCTAAATATTTGTGGATGAGAAGGCTCAAATTGGGTTTTAGAACACTTCATCGTTTGGAGCTTAAACTCTTGCTGCGTGTAACATCCAAGACCTGTAGCAGTGTAAATCCTAGTCTGAGTAAAACTGCCACTTTCTATATTTTGGTGACACAGCCCTATTTTCAGTGTAATAATTTCAAAATAGACCATCTTGAAATTGCACATGAGTCTCCAGATTTTTCAAAATTTAAGGGAGGTTTTCAATTCAATATATCCTACTCACGTACCAAGTACTGACTGCACTTCTTCATTTTAAAAGCTTTGAAGCTGTTTTCTGCATAAGAGGGAGGCTCACCAAGAACGTCAAGCTACAGAAATGACTATTTTAAAAAGGCTGAATCTCTGATGAGGGTTTCATAAATAAATATCCTCCTAACTTACAGCTCTTCTGTGACACAGTGCAAAAATTCTTGAATTACTAATTCAAAAGTGTGTATATGATGTTGTCATACACACCTTTCCTCATACTGTAGAAAGGAATACACAAAAGATGGAGTACAAACTACATATAATAATATAAAGGAAGAGTTCTACACCTTTTTCAGTCATCTGTCCCTGTGCATCTTTGCAGACCTAGTTACAGAAGAATAAACATAAATAAAATCTTAAAGTACTAAAATCCTTTCATCTTCTGTAACTTAAACCTGCATAGAATGTTTGTTAGAAGAAGAAAGGTTAATGGCTGTTTTTTCCAGTTGCTTGTTCTATAAACTCAACAGTATACGTAGGAAGTAGGTTTTTGAGTATTAAAAGCCATGTGTTTCACAAAGTACTGACGCCTTGTCAGCAAAACCCTTCTGTACTGTGATAGAGCCACATAGAGCTAAAAAGAACACTTACCTAAAGCTTGTTAACAAATTGTTATCTAGATACAGCTTTGTTAAGGATTGACAAGTGTATGGCAGCTCACCTCAGCACAGACTATACCTTAGATTTTGGGATTTTTCTAAAAACCTAAACTGAAACCTTACACTGTTCATATGCACACAGCAAAGCATACTTTCTCTCTAAGGGCTCTAACAGCACCCTAACTAAAAGGGGATTTACAAAACCAAATCAATGTTTCAAGACAGGTAAGAGAACCCCTTGTGTTGTACTGATTGAGGAGAAAACAAGCATGTTCCACTTTAGCCAGCTGCAGTGAGCTTGCTTAATAGGCCATCCTGTTTCTGTATAGAGTTCACTTTAACACATTAATACTGCTTTGTAATATGTCATAGTAGTACTCCATTTCTCTACTTTGTGATTATCTCAGTTTTTAGAAGCAGGTTAAAATCAAGCATCATTTAGTAGATTAAACATCCTACAAAACTTACCATTTTCAGGGACACATCTACAGTGCTTCCAGCAACAAAGCTGCAGTTTCTAGAAAGGTAATCAGTTCTTGCAGGTAGGGAAACTTGAGACTAAAGTGACCCCTTCAGACTTGCTAGCAGGTGTGAGAATCCTGACCAGCTCCCTCCTCCAGCTGTAATTACTGGCACTCACCCTCTTTCCATGGAGAGATTTAAGTTTTTACAAGGCTGAGATGCAAAGTACTTTTGCCTAAGGTGGAAGCTTTGATCCTTACTATAGGCAAAAATGAAGGTAAACAAAAAATAGCTTGTTAAAAACCAACTCCCATACAAAGTAAGGTCCTCTAGGGAGACAGGAAAAAGTGCCTATATTTAAGGGTTCCTAAACAAACGTTACACAAGTAAGTTTCACAGACATGTAAAAATAACTTTAAGCTACACCTCTTAAAAGTAAGGAACAGCATTTTCCATGCAACAGTTGGCTGTTCTGTCTTCATTGGTGTGCGACAACTGCTACAAGAGATGAAAGAACACATGGGTTTGTTCTTTTATTTACATCTTGGCCTCTTAAGTTACAGAAGACAGCAGTGGTTTGTCTTTTTTTTTTAAGCCATTATTTGTGTTAGTAATGGGTATTTTATAACCTTGGCAGTATCGGGTGCTACATACGCTCTACCTCGCTATGTCTAACTGAGAAACAGAAATCCATCCATATTATGCCAACAGAGGTACTCCATGAAGTACAGGTAATGAACACAGCCTTACACCACCACCACTGTGTTTAGAGTAGAAATGCCTTCGGACTTGAGTTCTGCATCTTCTGTCCTAATGGGGGCAAGGTAAAGATGTTGTTTAGCAAGTATCTGAACCTATATATCTCAGCTCATTATATGCTAAATATTACATATAGGCCCCTACTAATCTGTGGGATTCTGCAACCTGAAACATCTTGCCCCAGGTAAAGGGTTTAGCCAATCAATCTACAAGTCCTTCAGCAAAAACAGGAACCATACTTAACAGTGAAGGTGGAGAAAATACTACATCTGCACATTTCAGTTCTTAACTGTCCTAGAACAGCAAGGCAGGGCATAGGCCCAGCTTAAATACTTTAAAGTAAATTCTAAAAGCACAGCCCTACCAGTTACTGCCTGGCCTATGTTTTCCATCATTTCCCAATAAGTTTCTGTAGAAAGCACACAACCTTTGTTCTTGGAACAAAGCTCATGATTAAATGCCTGCTCTACTACCAAAGGATTATTTCGGTGACTGCTGAACAGAATGGGGCTATAACTGGAGCTACCCTTCAGAACCCCCCAGGAAAGATGACAAGAAACCCCTTTAAAGTCTTTGTAAGTAGTAGAGGTAAACAGAGGACCAGAATGGTATCAACTGTTAAATCCCTCAGTGCTTGCTTAGTTCTCAACCTGAAAAACTGAAGATTGCCTCTTGAAATCCTGAATACACTGCTAAATGGAAAAGTATTTAGATTAAAAAAAAGAAACCCACAGCACAGCCCCCACCACTACCATTCTGAATAAGAACTAGAAATCCAGTTTACGTCCCCTTTTAGTTTGCAGCTATGCCTGCATATTAATTGTTTATAGTTCTGCTGCTGTCTACAAGTGGCTCTATCAGAACAAAACCATACATTTGATGTCATTGCAACAGTTTCAAATATGTAAATATAATTTAGAAAGAAAGTGAAAAGACAAACATTTATTTTAAGTAGGGTTTTATACATGGCATGCATCTGAGAAGGAATTCTTTACCACATAACTATCACTCAAGTTTCCTGATCAAGGGTGTACAATCTTGGGCATGAAGGAAAGGGTACCATCACCTACACTAGTATATACAGAAGATATAAAAATATACACAACAGTTAATTTTACAGAGCAACAGAGCTGAGTGAATACTGTGCACACTGTATTCTCCGAGTTTGGACAGCTGAAGATCCAAACTGCAAAGGCAACAGGAACACTGCAGAGATCATTATCAGGGTCAGAAGAAACAGCATCAGAACTCTGACACAGTGTAAAAATATAAGGCAGAAGCCACTTTCTTCTGAATCGTAGGGAAAAGCAGAGCACACCGCGACTCTCCATCTTGCTTTTAAAAGTTCCAGCAAGGAGTTGTACATGCAAAACACAAATTTGCATCAACAGTGCAACAACAAAAGAATACTGAACAGTAGCTCGATCATACAAACTTAAAAAAAACGTAACATGTACTTTATGCATCTCTCCTCACAAAATATCTAGGATTTGTCAGTGCATTAGTGTTAAAGTGGCATTAAAAAAACTTCTGCTATTACAACAGATGCAGAATTATTTTGGAAATGCATAGCATCTACATTTTTATTGTCTTTGTAATTATTCAGTTGGCATAGGCACCATTCTAGTCACACCAGCATTAAGAATTCGTGGTGGAAACAGCCATTCTTACCGATTCATACACAGCTATTCTTGACTGCTTGTCTTGATTTTGATTTCAACAAATAAATGCTTTTTAAAATTCAAAAATAGACCCTATGAATATGAAAAGAACTATATACAACATACCTAAGACACAGGGTTAGCTGGCTGCCATAGGTGTAACACACTGAAGAGAAACATTCAAGTTTGACAGATATTTTTTTTTTCTTTGAGATGAAAGGCCTTTGGGTTGGAAGCATATCAAAGACAACAGTGCAGTAGGCTGAGAATTCCTTTAGCTCAGTTCAGAACTAAGGCATTGTATGATAAAATATACATTTATATTTGGTGCAATGTTACTGTCAATTTTAAAATCTAGATCACATCAAATGCTATAATTCATCACTCTAGTAAACATACGTATCCATCTTCTATCACAAACTCAAACCTTTGTGGGGGAAAAAAAAAAGTTATCAAACACTAAACCTATATTGGTTTTTTTCTAACTTGACATTAAGGAAAAAATGCTAAGCCAAACTCTATAATCCCCCCCAAAAAACATATGGTAGGAGTTCACATCATCCTAGTCTTTACTCGCCAAAAGTTACAACATACCCTTGAACTTTCCTAAAAAGAAAGAGATTTAAGATTTTTAAACTGCTACTTCAAATTACTTTTTGCATTTTAAAATTTTCAATTATCCGTTCATTCTATGCTTGATGCCCCCTCTGATTATCTCCCAGTGTTGCCCTTCTCCTGTCATTCCTATATGGCCTCCCTCTAAAGTTCCGCTGATACTGGTAGCTGTCATCTCTGCTTCTGCTGGGTGGTCCTTTCCAGGCTTCCTCGTTTCTTTGGAACTGGTATCCTCCCCTACTGGAATAACCCCACTCAAGTCTAGGCCTTCTGCCTCCACCATAAGTCTGGTTATAAAATTGCTTGGATCTACCACTTCTCAGCATATCAGAAACTTCACTCTCATCTTCAGAGCTCTCCTCCCTTGTTCTCTGTGCCCTGCTTTCTGTCTGCAGATTACCAGCACCCTTGGAATCTCTACCTTTATCAGTCTTCTCCTTACGACTGGGAATGCTGTTTTTCAGTTCATTTTTCGGTGGTTCTGCCAACAGTGGTGGAGTGTTGGGCACCGCGGTCTGCCTCTCGGTCCCCTGCGTTTGCAGAGAACGATTTTGCTGCCCAGCTGGTTTTTGCTTAGCTGGAGAAGAAGCCAAAGGACAAGTTTGCTCCAGCTGAGGTGCCCTAGCTGATGTTTCTTTCGGCACACTGCAATCACTGCTTGCACCAACCACAGGGAATGGTACAGTGTTCGAGCCGCTGCTGCTGTTAGTCTTCTGAAGCTGTTCTGCGCAGTTTACTACAGGAACCGGAGGGTTGCATTCTTTAGCCACGTACATGGTCGCAGAGGTGCTAGCTGTTGCCTCTTTGTCCTCAGGTGACATGACAACATTAGGTCTTGCTACTGAATTTTCAATGAAACCCTGAACTGGGTACCCATACCAAAAGTGAGGAAAGAAAGGAGGTGCTATTGGAACAGCTCCTAGAAAGTGATTGTGTCCAAAGGGTGGCTGTGGGAACATATTTTTCCCTCTCAGGGACTCCTCATAGTTTGCATGAAGAGCTTGCACCGGATTCTCCGTTTCTACACAGACCTGTCCTTGACTTTCTGACACCTGAGCTGTAGGTATAATCAGAGGCAGTGATGGAGATCTACTATCAACCTGTGGAATCTGACCGTTGGATCTGGCCTCGCTCAGAACAGGAAAGTGCCTGTTTGTTCGTGCAGTTTCGTTTTCATTCTGAGTCGGTGGAGCCTCCTGGAACCAGGGGTTGTGCGGATACACAGGAAGGGACACGTTTGGGTACATTCTACAAGCAGCTAAATAGGCCTGGTGCAGGGGGTACAAGTAAGAATGGGGTGCCCACATGGGACAACTGTATGCCTGCAAGACAGGGTGGGGGAAGAAAAGAAAAAAAAGTATTTGGTCTTTTGAACGTTCAGACAGACATAACAGCACACAGGTCATTTACCATTTTGAAACAATTAATTACAGGAAGTAACGGTTAATTTTATTTACAGTGACTGCCCTCAATTCTAAATATCTAGGACTCCAGGATGATGTTCTCATTTTTTGTTTTCCTTCCAAATGCAGCTGCAATGGGCAACAGCTCTGACCAGTAAGAAAACTTGGTAACAATTTCTATATAATTAATTTAAACACATGATGCTTTAGTCAAGTCAAGCTTTAGCTATGCATCTGAAGACACATTTCAAATTCATTTTCAAGAATCACAATTATTGATCGGCAATTTGCCCTACTAGCTCACTTTTCAAAATTCTAAGGGATAACAATCAAAATAACAAATCGTCCCACCACACACATTTTCACCAAAAAAAAAAACCGACTACACTGACACCTGAGGTTAGATCATTTCCCCAAGGACAATTTCTAAAGATTGAAATCCATATATGTGCACACAAGCCACAGATCAGCCTTCTTAGAAGCCGTTTCATAAAGTAGGGGGATAGGTTTCATTAAAACATACAACACAACTTCCCAGCTACTGGTGGGAGTCACACACCAGACACACCATTTTCAGCAGCAACTTTTTCTGTGCTGTTACTAAACACAAGCTACATTCACAATACTGATGTTGTCCACCTCAGGTGGCGACCCCCTTCCCTGCTCTCTACTTCCATGTTAACTGACTAGCACAGAGTGGCTTACAGTTACATTGCTCAGAGTTAAGAGTTTATAAACACAGACTTTGTGTTTGTACTATGGTACATAGCAACTGGCCCACGAGCAACATTGTAGGATGTTTTTCTAATACAGTGTGCCAAATATGTATATTTCAGGCCATACAGAACACCATGCAAGGCTGCTGGAGACGCAAGGCTGTGTAAGAAAACATTGGAGTAGGTAGAGGGCAAGGCCCAAAACCTGGCACAGTCTTGGCTGTGCCACCTGTAGAAACAGTCCCCAGAGCAAACCACCCTGAGAAGCCTACTCAGACCTTCTCTCAGTGGGAACCAGTCAGTTCACTCTGAACAAGCAACTGGCAGGGTGTGGATAACAGCATGGCAGGATCTGGGACCAAAGCAGTAGGCATGGTAATGCAGAAAGTAGTTCCCAGGTTTACCATACATACTATTTGGTCACCCACTGAGGAACACAACTACTAGAACACGGTACTTTGACCAGTAGATGGAGCTGAAGCACCAAAATGACAGACTATATCCTAAAAAATACAAAGGACCAGTAAGGAGAGTCCCAAATATACATAGGCTTAATGCTGTTTAAATATATTGCAGTGACACGTGCCAATAACTTATGGATTTTCTATTAAGCAAAGAGACTTGTATTAGGCACACAGTTATCAAATCTGAATTTACTTTGTAAGTTGTGCTGAACATTCCCTCTTTTCATGCAGACACTAAAGAAAATCATTACTTATGGCCACAGTCATGTGGAATAAGCCTGAGAGCTCTGAGCACCTTTTCCAAAGTAGTTTGCCTGACAGAAGGAGTAAGTGAAGGTAAAATAGGAACATTTTTATGTGCAGAAGGGAGAAACTAAGCAAACAATTAGTCCTTACCAAGAAATGGAAAATACTGCCTTTTTGGATGAGCCTCTTCCCCAAACACACACACAGATTTGCACCACATATACACATCAAGAGCTATTACAATTACTTAGAAGGTTAAAAGTAAAATACTGTTGTCCTTAACCTGAGCAGAAAGGACAGACATGCAGGTTACTTAAGGGAGTGTCTGTCCACAGGTATACGAGGTATTTGTACTGCAGTGGCTTTACTGGTACATGGACATGGTCAAAGTCAGAGGGCCTTTTCTCTTACTATACGCTGCTTCCGAAAGAATGCATCTTCAAAGTACAATCTGTTGACTGTATAGCCACAGTTGGAAGCCAATAGTTCTCACTATCACTGTTGAGTTAAAATTTACTTCTGTTGACTTGACCTGCAATGTGGACCACTGTTCGGATCCCAGTTAATAGAAGACAAAATAAGAAAGTATTTCAAATTTAAAGACGAACTTGAAGTGTACAGCTGCAGCAAACTTCTGCACTCTAAGTACTACCAAATACAGGCAAATTTTATGGTATAACAAACACAAAAACATAAGTAAGTTTGAAGAGTTACCTTCACACCAAGGTTGAAGAAAAATCTAAGAATATTCTTATCTAGGAAATAAAAAAAAAAAACAAACAGAAAGAGATCTATGAAGACCTAAAATATTACAATTCATCCAATCGAAAAATTAGTCACTGCATAAAGTTCTATTTCAGTAGAGAAACACTGGTTGCTGCTTGCATGTCTTTGATTGATTGGGGGGGGCGGAGGGGTTGCCATAGTAAGATAGCTAGAACACAACTGCAGTTTAAATTTCATCTTTTAACAGTTTGTTGGACTGAACTGCTACTTTTTAAAGAAACAGTTCTGTAAACAAACACCACCGTGCAGTCAGACATGTTATGTTCTTTATGGGCATATTCCCTATTTGCAGGATGCCAAAACCTGTAGTATGCCAAGTTTTCCCAGACCAGTAAGGGAATTCTCAAAAACTTCCAAGCTTTCGATTACAAGAGAAAACCTATTGCTGTAAAAGCAAGCAGTTCTCCAAAGAAAATCCCATACATGCACAAAACCTAAAGTTATGGTGGGTCAAGCTAAGAACCACAAAATGATTGCATCACATTTCCAGGTGTAACCACTTAAAATCATCGCAATGTTAGCAAGGCAAACTAGAGTTACAACTCTATTTAGTATTCCCTCCCACACCTTAAATCATGGAATGACAACAATTAGATCTTTTGACACAGACTAACAACAGGACCAAAGAAGTCGTCTTTATCTACATTTTAAGAAAAGAAAACCTATTAAGAAAAATGGTATAAAAACCAGACCTTCTTCTAGCTTCTCACCTTTAGGTAAGTCTTCCCCAGTATTGCACAGGGAGTAAGAGGGTGCAACAGCTCTTTCTCCCTTTTCACTAAATGGGAATCCAGGGTATAGCGGATCCTGGTAAGGATTCAGAGTCTGAGGCAAAGGCATTAAAGGCTGGTTAACTGCTTGTAGCGACACAGGAACTCCAGCAACTGGAGCAGATGTTACCTGAGCCTGTGATACAATAGAGTCAGGTCCCGTTGCTGGGGCTGGCATCAATGAAGAAGCAGGTATTTGGGCTGGAATACCTAAGGGGAAAAAATAGTAATAATAAAAAAAATACATATATAGCTCAACTATATACAATCACAAAAGAAAATGACAGTGGGAAAGCAAGTTTCAAAAGACAGAAGAAGGAGGGAAAAAAAAAAGGTATTCAGGAAGATATAGGAAGAAATCTGGAGTCAGGAAGTTACAAACAAAAGAAGATTTGGCTAAACACAGAGAATAGTTTTCAGAAAGAGTGAAACAGTTAAGCTTTCCAGATATAGCTAAACCCTTCCCATATTTATTTTTAAAATTATGAATACCAGAAGGAAATAGGAGGGGGGAAAAAAGGGGGGGAACTGAAACTTACATGTTAATCTCTCTAGTTCTCATTCTGACTAGTCATTGACAGCCAACTCTGAATCTGAGCTCAGATTAACTGAGCTATACATCCTCTGTCACAGATGCAGTCAAGTATGACAGGATTATTACCATATCATGTGAACATAGTATGCCAATTTGAAAGCTAGTTCTTGTACAGAAACACAACAGTGGGAGAGAAAATATTGCATCTGATCTAATGAGGAATATTGAATCTAAGCTAATTCCATGTATCAAAAGATACACACAGCACACAAAAAACATATGCTGGCTTTGCAGCTCAGGTCCAAATGGATCTCACTAGTTCCAGACATACCAGACCCAAGCTGAGTCCTTAGTGAATCAAGGAGCCTATTACATGGGACACAAAGCACGAACACATATCAAGCTTCAACATGCTGACAATGTGTTCTACCTTAAGCAGATCCTCAGAATAAGCCCCCTCGAAACTCAATGCTATCCCACCCAGGAGAAAAACAGAGAATTGAGTACATATTCCTCTTCCACCTTCAGGCACAGAGTAAAGCAAACTATGCATATGGGCAATCAAAGTTCTACTAGAACTCTCACTAGCTTTCAGCAGTGAGGAACTATATTCCTATAAATGACTGCCTTTGGAAACTGCAGTGATATGAAACAGTGTCTCCTGGAGGCATCTTCAATGTAGCAAGACAGTTAAAGGCTTTTTCAGGGTTAGTAGTTTCTGATTTATGTTAAAATTTATTCAAACCTGCTGGTCCATAGGTTGTTGGCTCACTTGGCCAAGCTGGCACAATGGCTGGTACAGAAGGCACTGTTGGAGGTAAATGCACCTCAGAAAAGACTGGTGAGGGTGTTGGAGTTACGCTTGGTAAGCATTCTGTCAGGTTCTATAAAAACAGAGATCACATGAAATTACTCTAAATCACCATTGTTGGTGACCCCTAATGTGTCTGACTTCTACCAAAAAAGGCTTGATGACTCAGTATTATCCAGACTACCACTACAGTGAAATATTAACTAGTAACATATCAGGCTGTATACATAAGAGAGATCCGAGATACATTACATCACTGTGTGAAGAACTCTGCACTGAGCTCTGTCCAGAACGTGCCTGTACCAGAGATAGCCATCAGTGTTATAACCACCTCCACAAGCATTAAATTTAATTATCTCCCATCCAAAACAAAATCCACCCTTACAAACGATTACCAATAACCTTGGAGAAACCTGAAAAATCAAAGGTAAAGAATTTAAAGTGAAAAGCATGGTTATCTTAGCAGAAAGATATGAAATAACCCCTCTCTCAGCAAAGAAAGGATATACTTTTACTTTTATATATCAAGGGTTGTCATTTTACATTCTTTATGTTGGACATAAAGATTTCCTAACTGTAAATACAGAATTTTAGCATTATCACCCTTGAAATGACTACATAATTAAAAGCCAGTATTATAATACATACGTGGCTGTGATGAAGCTCCCCTTTGTCTGAAGTCTCCTGACTGGAAAACTTTGAAATAAAACAAACATTTCTTACTTGCTCAGCAGGAATCGGAGAATCCGTTTTTACTTGTTCCAAAGGAGATGAAGCTTTTGGATAACTCTCATCTTGACTATTCTTCTAAAGCAAAGTTAGAAACAACAGACATAGCTAGTCTAATAGTAAGATTTACTTTTCAAAGAGGCATTCAAAGATATTAAACCACACTACATACAAAGTGGTCTAAGCACCCAATCGCTATTATACTAGTGTAATATTTTGCTCATTGAAAGGATAGCAAAGATTAAAAGCCAACAAGGGGCCACAAATCTTCACTGAACTTCAGAGATCATGGTCTGTTAGCACAGTAGCTATTAGTAAACATCAAATCTTCTGTAGTCCCATTATACTGAAAGTACAGACTGTACTAAGCAATTACAAATCCAGATTCATAAGTGCTCTCAATAGCCCAGATTTGAGAACTCAGATTGCAGAGAAAGACTGTAAGTATGGGTTACAGGGGCTGAGGAAAGCTGACAGCAATACAAGCCTCCAACCTTAGAAGTATTTCACTAAAAGCTGTAAAGCAGCAGCAGCAATCACAGCTCTAAAGGCAGCTATTGCTCTGCCAGTCATGTATCAGAGAAGCAATAACATTTAAAAAAAAATTTGGTCTTTTCTTTAAGATTACCTCAGATGAATTTGGCTCAAGCTTCTGACTTAAGTGGATCTGCCTGGAATTTGACTCTGTAACACCAAGACATAACCTAGTAAATGAACCATTACACCATTTATGGCTATCACAACTTAAGCCAGTTAAAGTTTGTCTTTCCAAAGTTAAACCTTCAAAACAAAACCTACCTCAGCACATATTACTTCAGAAAACTTAAGCTTCAATTTTTATCAATCATCCTAAAATAAACAGTCATTAGGGCAGTAACAGAGCAGCTACTTCAACCTGGGTTTTCAAAGCTCTACAGGAGTTCTTTACTGATGTTTGTTAACCATCTAGGCAATGCTTGAGGGAAACAGGAAAGAAATGTAGCTGTCTCTTTAAACATGTATCATTCATCCTAAATCCTTCCTAGTGAAAAAGAAATGTTTGTACTATGCTTAAAGTGAAAAGTTTTGATCTCCATTTCCATATACAAGTGTTAAGGTAACAGAAGCTTAAAGTCTTGTCTACTTTTGACTGAGTAAAAGATAGATCAGTTTAGAAGGTTTCAGTGATTCAAAAGATCTAGAATGTTTTCAGACTGATGCAGAAAGTTTAATGTCTCAAGCACCAGCAAACACTTGGTGGGGTAGATGATGCTGAAAAACAGTCATAGCATATATCTTCATTACATGAAGATCTGTACAAGTTCTTCACATTCTAGTTTATGTTCAAATCTGGTTACCACTGCTTGTCAATCAAATTCAGGCATATAAGTTTAATAGTAGCCACTAAATAGATAACGTACTTTTTAAAAGCTTAGTATATGTACCATCACAACTAGACAACAATGTAAATTAAAACAATATTGATTATGAGAATTACTGCCAATTCCCCAAGCACCAACAGGAAGCTCTAGATAATGAGAAGGAAGTACAGCTTATTCCCATAGGATTTTTATCCCAGTTTCAGAAGAGGCAACACAATCCAGAACATCACAAAAACCAGGGAAAGCTGTACATGCCATGCACTTCAACAAGATCTATCATGACAATGTAGTAAAGAGCTTTCTCTACTTGAACATTCTTTCTGGCATTGCTGATGAAATAAGTTTTCAAATGAAACAAGTTTTCAGATGTTTGGAGAATGAAAAACAGGTAACATCAGTCCTTGTGAGACCATTCAAGAAGGCATTACATGTTGTAAGAGGGACTAAGGAGCACAAGTACCATAAATACACAACAGCAATGTCTCTGCTGTTGCCAGAGATAAGGGAACAAAAAAACATTCAAAAACTGGAGGGAAGGAACAGCTTCTAAGAGGAGGCTAGAGTTTGAATTTTGTTTTAGCTGGGGGCGGGGGAAGGGGGAGCAGGGAAGGCAGAAGAAGCCAAGATAAAATTCAGTGTTTAGTTATGGCAAAGCTGACAGGACAAGAAAAAAAAAAATTACAAATCAGTTGCATTTAGCAAAGATTTACCACCTCCTGACAGCTACAGCTTTTATCTATTACTGCCACGTTCCACTTCCTCACAGAAAAGGAAAAGCTTAAGAGTCAATGAAGAGAAGCTAAAGAGTGTCATAACAGACTGGGGGGAGGGAGAAAACCCAAATTTTGACCATGTGACAGCTCTTTCTATTGTAAACGGAGGGGGGGGGGGGGGGGGCAACTCTTCTGCACACCACCTTCTCCCCTCTTTCTGTGCCACTGTATGCTATTCTCAACATACCACATTCTCTTAACTGACTCCAGTAAGCACTCTTAATACTCCTCCCACAGGCACTTTCTGCCACACTCACTAGAATTTCAACAGGACATAATTTAGGGCAGCTCTGATAGTCTTTTTGTTTCTCTCATTCCTCTTCCCATTTACTACAAAAGTCCCAGCAAGGAGCCTGCTCTCTCAGCCACATTCACAAAGCAGGAAAACATATACCTTCTTCCCAAACCACACCTTTCCTACCTTGAGCCTAGCTCAGTTTGGCACTATTATTTACAATAATTTTCCCCTCATTGCCTAAACAGATGCCCCATCTTGAATAAATTCTGAGGCTAGTAATAAAAACAAGCAAACAAAAAAAGCCTTGATCTAAAAACATTCATTTTTACCTTTATCCTTCTGCTCTTCCACCTCTGCTGTCCACTTGCTGTTTCTTCTCTCATTACTTGAGAACTTTTTCTGGTTTAAATTATCCAGAGTCTGTGTAGCAGCCTGACAGACTGACTGATTCTAAAGAAGTTTACAAAAGCAGAAATATGAATTTATATAAAAAGTCCAATGACACTTTGTCATCATCTGATACAACACTATTATGGCACCATGACACATAATACTTATCTCTATGATAGGCAGAAAGGTGGGGGGAAGCAGTCTTGATCAGTATCATTCAGACTAATCTACTCTTTCATTCATTGCTAAATTTTGCAAAGTGTCCTTTAAAAGCATTCATGTCATTAGTTTACATGACAAAGAAAACCTGCTTCACTCAGACAATATCCACTTTAAAAGTCACATCCTCTTTCTGCAGGTGAGCAAATACAGCATACTGTTAACCCCAGCTCAGAGACAGAGAGCAATCTCTGTCCGTCACGCTTCAGTCTTACTCTGCTCTTTGCAGCACAGAAGAGCTGTATATTTCTTCTTGATTACACCAATATAAGTAATTACTGCTCAAGAACTGAAAGATACAGAGCAGGAATTCACTTCCACAAAGAAAGAGAGTTAAGGCCCACCTTTCACCTACTCATTCTTCCCACCCTGGTTCTTGTTTCTGTTTGCCCTAGGATTTAAATCCAAGAAGGCCCACGTCTCTAGAATAAACCTATGTAGACAACAGCTGTTTACCCACAGAATTTGCTCGCTCCCTGGATGTATTGAGACTCCAATCCACTTTCTTTTAAAAATTGCATCAGTAGAATAATCTCTCAAAATCTAAAGGCTACATTCTTCCTTCAGACATAGACAAGTCCACTGAAGCCAGCTCAGCTCCACAACAGAAAAAGAGCAAGTCTGGCAAAGAATTTGCATTACTTATGACACCAGGCAAGTTCTCACACCAGTAAGTTCTCAGGCAAAAAAGAAAAGTAACTTATAAATAAAACAGGTTTTATGTGAACCAAATCAGAAACAATCACCTAGTCACCTCCGATACTAATTCAAGCACCACAGTGCCATTATACTGAGCTATTTCTCAGCTAAATTAAACTGTACTTTAGAGCAAGTTCTATCCCCACCTTGAGGTTTGATCCCACCATACAAGAAAAAGACAACATCCGAGTAAATGTAAGGGAGTGCAAAGCCTTTCAAAAGACAGGAGGAATGTGACGAAAGAAGCCCACAGCTTCAGAAGCTCACGTGTCTACTGTATTTACATGCCTAAAGAACTGTGTATGGTGGACATTAATTATTCCCAGGGGACTACTACATATGTGTCTTATCTTCAATATATAAAGCACTGTAGATTCACATATTTCTATGTAGAAGGTGAGTGTGAAGAAAATACCCTTAACTTTTGAATTGTATTGTAATGCAAGGACAGCAAAACAATTGCTAATTAAAGGTCCATGGACAAGTATGAAAAACACACTATTAAAGCATACATTGGAAAGAGCAGGAAAAGCTTGTTCATCCCTCTGCTGGATCTCATAAAGTGAACGAGATTCTTCTATAGCCTGTTTCTCCCTGCGTTCCTCTGGAGACAGGCCAAAGTAGTTACAATCTCTGCTGCCATGGTTCAGATCCTCCGTTCTCTCCCGGTCTGGTTTTCTGTAAAGGAAAAAATGAAATGGGATCAATTTGACAAAGAAATACACTAGTAACAAATACAATACAAACTCATGGTTTAGAAGGAAGAAAGGAGATAATTATATAGCACTGCTTATGTGATTCCACATATACCAGATCCCTTTCTGCCTATTGCAAGTTACCCATACACATAAAATTTAAAGAAGGGAAAGAATGGATTTTGTCCATGATTTATTCTGTTCAAGACAATTTTGAAAGACTTTGTAACAAATGGTAATTATTACATCACAGTTAAAAAACAAATGCCTGCATCAAGTGATCTAATCCATTTCTGTGCCAACTGAGAACTGACCACCCCCATCCCATACCTATGAACATGCAAGAGAAAGCTGGGGAAGATTTCTGTAAATACAACAACAAAAGGGAAAATGCATTATAATTTTCAATGTCTGAAGCATCACTACACAAAATTAACATCACTATTTCAGCTTTCCAAATTACTTAAACATTTTAGGATACTTATGTATTTAGGTTAAAGGTGAAAGAAAAATGCCCTTAAAATGTTGCATGTGGCAGACTCCAAAGGCACGCTAGCCCCATTTATTTCACAAAGAGTTATGATACAGAAGAGTAATGGAATAGACCATGAAGAGTTCGGCTTTGTAGCCAAGTACAGAACAGTCTTTTAAATAGGATAGAAAAAGAGTGGCAATGATGAAAAACTCTGCTGCAGCAGCACAGTGAATCAAAAAATCACTACCAACAAACACAGGCAAAATGCTGTTCTCATACTCCTTCAAGTGTTGAGTCGTAACATGAAACAGTCCTCTATGACAGGTTCTGCAGAAGCTGAGGGAAGATCTTAGCCATGCCCAAGAAGCGCTACATGCAACAGTACTTCAGCCCAACCAGAAAAAAAACATCATCTGCTTTCCAAGAAGAAACTGCAGTTTTCTGTACAGTGCTTCCAGGGGAGATGCTGCCATGCAAAAAAAGAAGTGGGAGCTCAGGACGGCAGCAATTTTGGAAAAGGTTTAAAAGTTAAAAAAAAAAATTGTTTCTCCTGTGCTTGTGTGTATTCTTCAGGACTTGGAATGCTTCTTAAGAGCTCAATGGCAACATATTTCAAAAGAGCACGTTGGAAGTATCTGAAGCAGGCACCTGGGCTCCAAGAAGCTCAGCTAGCGTTCAAGATAAGTAAGATGTTATTTGCAGTTTTACCTTACAGTTTGGGAAGGATTCCTGCCTGGAGCTTTTTGCTCAGTTGAGGTCTGATGAGGTTGAGGTCCAGAACATAAGAACTGATGCTGCCTGGTTCCCACAGTATGCTGAAGTCGAGGAGGTAGTGCTGACTGGGGTTTTATTGACTTGCTCTGATTCTTTGCCCCTCTGCAATCTGCATCTGTGATAAAGATGTGAAAATGGATTTTTTTTTTCTTTAATCATTTTTTAAGCTCTTTGGGACAAAACATCTGACAATAAAGATTCTGCTACACAAAGACAGGTACAATCCTACCGGGCTGAGCATTCTGCCCCCATGTTGGGAAAAACTTTTTTATCTTCTTCCCTGGCACAGTGTTCCAGCCCTCCATAGGAGAGGCTTGTGGAAGAGGTTTAAGGCTCTTCAGTGAGACAGCATGCCTACAAAACAAGGAATTACGGAGGGAAAAATATCTTAAAGACCACACTGGGGCTTGCATAAATTAATACCACATTACTAAGACTGATGGATCTCTGCATTTTTGAGAACATTGCATTCAAAGTCCTTTGTTCTTTATGATTACACTCAAGCAATGTGTAGAAGAACAAACCTCCTGGGTTTTTTGTTTTTTTTTTTTTAAATAAAACTCTCTCCGATAAGCTGATGCAAACTTATCCAGTAAAGAATGAGCAGCCATTCCTGAAGTGAGTATTAACATGTCTTCAGGGCAGACAGAAAAGGAGAACAATCAGAAAAAGCAATATACTCAGATAAACTTATCACAAGCACTGCAATAGAGGATGCTGTAGGATGTCCAAGCAACTCTTTACATTACTTGAAAGGAAGACATTCAAATCTGTAACAGTTCAAATCAGGTTAAATCTCAATTTAAAAATGTAACAAATTGCGAGACAATCTTCAGATCTCACAACATTTTCATTTATTTAACAGAAGGAGATCACATGAGATTAATGGGCATCCTTCTCCTTCCCTCATTTACCTTGACTGAAGGTGTTTCCTCTTCCCAAACTATACTCAACTGTGGGGTTTTTTTGCCCCAGTAGAGTTACAGAACTTACAGCAGAGCTCAAGATGTCTCAAACCACTCCCCCCCCCAAAAAACCCAACAAACAAAAAAAATCCCCACCACCCTCCCAAACAACCAAAAGCCCCACCCCAGAAAAAAGCAACAAAAACAGCCAACCAGCAACACACAAAAAAAGCCCACAACCCCCAACAACAACTTTAAAAACTTAGTTTGTCCCAAGGTAGGACAAAGATGACGCTGATCTGAACAGCAACTTGGCAGTCTCTGTGTGAAATCAGGCAGAGCTACTCAACCAACAGAGAAGCTAGGTGCTTTGATGGATCTTTTAATATGAAAAGCTTGTCACAAATCTAGCATCTAATTACTAAGCACAACAAGCAACACTTAATTAGGATGGCATTGATCTGCTTAGGATTGAATCTTGTGTAAAAAAAAAAAAATTTAATACTAATGTAGTTACTGTTTTACTCTGCAAGTAATATCCAGACTACTAAAGAAAAAAGTCTGAAGAAGTGACAATCAATGCAGAACTCCTTTTTCCTTTTTTATTTAGTATGCTGTTTTCTTAACAATTTTGTGGTAGTACCGCTTCAGGTAAAGTAGTAGATACACTTCAAGGGCTGAAATTAACTCTGAACTAAAGTAATGCTGCCATTAACAAGGTTCATTTTGGCACTCTCATCCAAAAGAGATTAAACACTTACTTTGCTCCGAGCTCTTCTACAAATACAACAACTGGCCCATTCTCTGAACAACTTCTTGAATATGGGCATTATAAAATTTCCCATTATGGTCTAAGCGCACCTATAAGGGGGGGGAAAGGTGCATTAGCTTTAGAGAAGACAATGAGAGGACGTAACTCTTTAAAGTATCAGCCATGTTAAAAATAGAACTTTTCCTCTGGGCAACAGCAGACCTGAGAAATAAACACCACGTAATTCAGTAAATGTATCAAAAGCAAATCTTCAATCCATATCGCTTCTTCAAAAAGAAATAAAAATACTATTTAAAAAAAAAAAACAAACAACAACAACAACAAAACCCAGAAAGCTTGCCAGGTAACAGTACTTAGTGAAACATGGCTTTCAAAACTACATGAGAAAGTTAAATGTAATCAGTGTATCAAGGCTTTTCAGCTTTACTGAAAACACTTCCTCTTAGAATAAAACCCAAAGCTTCTCCTTGTTAAAAATAGTGATCAATTTTTCTCTTCTTTATGTGTAACTTCAGTGAAATCTAGTTGAATTAAGAACATGATGAACACCAATTATTTCTGAAGTTATTCTTCAGAAAGCTTTTTAGAACAACCAAAAAAAGTTGTTTGACGTGATCATAGTGTTACTTGTCTGAATGACATTCCATGTTCTTAAAATTCTTCTGTTAAATATAAAATAAATTTTGTAACGTTCTGCTACGTTTGGCTTTCCAGCTGTATTAATTTGGTCAACCTCACTTTTCACTATTTACTTCATCTTCCCTTCCTGTGTTTTTATCCCATATATTTACTGTCTTGCCACGTACATATAAAATTTGACAGAGAGAGTATGTCAGTTACCACAGTTTTTCCTACTAATAATATCTGTATCCTTTAGTAAATACTACACAAGACAGCCTAAGGGTCTTAAATACAAACTTTAAGCCTGTACTATTAAGCAATAAATAATGAACTCCATGGAGGTTTTGTTGTTTGCTTTGTGTGGGGTTTGGGGGGTTTGTGGTTTTAGGGGGGGGGGTGTTTTGTGGTCTTTTGTGTTGTTTGTAAAGTTTAGAGATGTGTTTTTCCTGCAATTTATTCACTATGCTTAATTCCATTACACAAATAAAAAAAGCACAAACTGAAAGAGCCCCCATGCTGCATGATAAACCTAATTGAATATTTTCACATTAATAATTTTAATAGGTGGTCAAATGTCCTAGAAAGAAGCATATTTAGCCAAGCACCAACCAGGTTTAGTTAACACACCTAAAGAGATTAATCTAAAATTTGAGTACTATAGCATTTAATGACAAATCTTATTTCTTCTTAAGCAGCAATACACACTACAAGTTTTAATGGAATTTAAAGAGCAATTGTGTAACACTTCGAATACTTCAAGAGGAAGAATCGCCCAAAACTTCGGGATCTTCAGTAACTAAAGCGAGCTGTGTTCTGTTACTTGAAAGTAATGTGATTATAACAAAGCCAATTTACAAACAGCAATCATGATCTCCGGAGTTGAACATAAATACATGAAACTGTGATGTTGGTTTTGGTCTCTCCAAAGAAAAGCCTGTATGACAGAAAACACTAAAATTTCATTCTTCATCATCTAACCGTATGCACACAAACACTTTATCATGCAGCAGTATGATAAAGCAAGTGCTGCCATCAGCAAAAGATGCAGTGGAGATAACGATTAGTTTTATAAAAACAGACCTACCCCACACATTTACACATCACGGGATTAACTAGCTTGCTTACGGAGCCCACCAAGAGAAGAACTGAGCTTACCCTGAACCAGGTAAACTGCCCTAAATGCACCCATTTACACAGAGGCTAACACTCTGCAACACCAAGCAAGGACTCACCATGGAGGCAAGCCTGCACAAACTTATTTGCATACTTAACATTAAGGTCCGCAGTCATCTTATTAAATATACTATTGAAGTTAACCTTGTGACTTTTTAATGCAGTAAAATTGCACTGATCAGATGTTCTATTACATGCCTTTTCTACATGTATGCTGTAAGTCATGAACACCACCACCAATTAAATAATGAGCGTATCCGCAGTTGAAGACACGAGCAAAGAATAGTTAGAAAGTAGCAATCATATATCAAAATAGTTAACAAAGGGGGAAAATTGGCATCTTGAGCAAAATATTAATGTTTCTATAAACTATAATTCAATGCTACTTACTTTACATTTATCTCCAACTGAGTATTGCATGCCAGCAGCAATAGAAAAATCTTGTTTTTGCTGATCTGTAAATACATTAGTAGTAATACACTGTTAGTTTAGATACACCAAAAGAGTTGCTTTCCTGATACAGTAAAAATGCAAACCAGAAGTTCAGGCCCTAAATCTGCACACTGACCCATGTGAGGAAGACCACTGCCTAAACCCAAACTCCCATTTGCATCACTGTTCCTCAAGAGGGCTTCACTTTATACATCAGCTTGCAGAAGTTGGAACTTTTAAGTATTTGGTTACTTACCCCATTTGGATTGGAGCCAAACGTCATATTCAACATTTCTGTAAACTGATGGATTGAGTGATTTAAGAACTTTTTTAGGTAAGACCAACAAGGTAGGATTCCCATTGCTCTTAAGGTGCTGTATGAAACAGAACAAAGTACTAAACGGTCAACTGCATAAAGATGTACAGTTTTCCATTTTTCAACTACAGTGCTCAAGCTTTAAACTGAAATATAAAGAAGCTGAAAATACATAAAGCATAAAGAGCTTTGAAAAAATAATTCAGTGGTGTTCTTTTAACCATAACAGAACAAAATTAAGAACTAAGCAGCATTAAAAAGGACACTACCCGCCTTTTAGCACATCAAAAGCAAACATTACTTTTCAAAGAAATAAGTAGTTTTTAAGATATTACGTGTTAGGAAAACTAGAACCTGAAGATTCTCTCATGAACATTAAACACTGAAAAAACATAGCAGAGTACAAGTTATTAGGAAGAAAATAAATCTTAACATATAAATACCTTGTTGCCAGAAAGAGATTTCAATCCATTCATATCACTAACTGTTGTAGCTTTACTTCTGCAAAAGGACAGAAACAAGCTGTGGTAATATAGTATTAGTAAGGCCTGGAAATCAAGTAAGATACATCTTGGAAGTGGATAAAAATACTGAAACTACCACTCTCTACATATTTTTCCACGACAAGCATACTACAGAACATCTTCATCTCTTAAAATGAAAAAGCTAAGACTAAAACAAGAACTACATTTCGGTATCAAATAAGACTTTTGTTTTTAAGTACAAGTTTTAGGAAGTCTAACTTATGTGTACTGACTTAACCATCACTTAAGAAAAAAAGGAGCAGAGAGGCAGGCAAGGGAAACAAAAAATTCCTCTAAAATTTTTGCAACTATGCAAGGAAAACATAGCAAATGCAGACATAAAAACAAAACAAAACAAACAAAAAAAACCAACCACCCAAACAAAACTCAAAACCAAAATCCACTCCATTAGTTAAGCGGCATCAGGCACTCTAATTTAGCCTTATTTTCTACACCTGACATTGCTGGAAAATTACCTTCCACAGAGAAAAAACAAGTATTTTTCCCTACAGCAGTTGTAGGCAACTGTCAGCATTAACTTCTCCCAAAACCAAAATAAACTATTACATTTAATAACAACATAACTGAAAAGTTCACATTTATAAAATGAAAAAGATCTTCTGGAAAACTAGGTAATGAAACAAGCTGAAGTAAACTTTTAAGACAAGCAAAAAATGTAAAGACTTCATAAACACAGCAAGGTGTTTGTAATTTGTGTTAACTAGGTCAAGAGTCACACACACTAGCTCTTGCATCATAAGACATATGGTTTAAATCAAAAACATTGAGTTTGATAGTCTCAAGTGAGTTTATGACCTTCATTTACAAAGGTGCTATGGAGGTTAGCAGTCTATTTTCTTATGAATCCCAAAGATACAGAGTAATGCTACTGCATATGAAGCCCAGGAAAGCTCTAAGAACAGAAAGGAATAAAGAAGGTTTCCACTCTCTGACATTTAACTACAAAAATTGTTCCCTAAGGCAGAAATACTTTGTATTTTAATTGGAAATGTTCCCTGGTACTTTTTTTTCCAAGCAAGAAATGAAGCTAATCCCTTTCCCAGAACTTAGTTTTCTTTCTGTGGCGATTTCCATCATCTTCCTTTCTGTTGTTTTCAGCTTGAAGAAAAAAAAATCAGCTCCCAACATCTCAAAGAATTTCTTCTGCCACATGCCACACAGACTACAGCAGAGCCCCCAGAAAGGACTTTAATGATGTTCAGCAGGAAGAGGGGACATGATGCACTAATACAGCATAATCTCCATGGCTTCAATGGAGTTTCACACAAGCCAAGGTTTTAAGAACAATATTAAACAGAAGAAAAACTGCCAATATATAAATGCAAAAATGGCACCATGAAAAGACTTACTGTGCAAAAGGAATCAGTAGGTCAAAGTCTCAAAGCTAGCTAGAGCATCCAGGTCCAGCAAAAGGAATACAAACCCACAAATATAATCACTTCATAAAGATCAAGGAATGAAATGGAGCAAGCTACATCTGTATTTCTCCATTAGCTACACCTCAAGCAGGCATTTCAGCCCCCAGATGCGGAAGCAACACAAGTTGGATTAGATTCCTGTAACTCAGTTGCAAGAGCCAGTCAAGTAATTCTCACGGAGTTTACCATGCCAGACTGGCACATTGACAGTTCTCCCAGGGGATTCTGCTATTTTAAACAGGAAGAGGGACATGTTGCAATGTCAATATTCCATTATGTAAAGAGACCCAAAGCTAGACTGCAGGAAAAAGAGGAACCAGAACCCTGTCCTCAGGTACAGTGAAGATTACACATTTCGTTCTTTCATAGTTCTAACTTTACCTCTTTGTGTTTCTTTTCTTCATAATTGGTAAAGGTTTTTCAACCCTAACTGTTAGATTCTACTACCCACTAGAAATTCAGAAAACTCATTTAACATGTATTGCACATAGGCACCTTACATTAACTTTTAAATCCCATTTACCTGTAGTTATCATCTTCTGAATCTGAAGCAGACACTTCACTGCTACCATTACTTTCCTCTGTTACACCAACAGCACTAAGTTCTGCTATGATTTTCTTTACATCTGTATCAAATACTTTCTCATAAAGCAACTCATACAGCAGAGCTGGGAAAGAGGAGAAAGTAGAAGGGCAAAAATCAATTACAAGGTAAATGAGATTTTGTATCACGTTTACAGGTGCATTTCAAATTACTTTAATCAAAGCAAGCAAGCATTTTGATGTGTTAACTGAAACAGTGAAGGCATTAGAAGCAAAACCAGCTGCGGCTACTATGGCTTAATGGGTATGCAGGAAACTACTAGAAGTCAGGTCTCTTCACAGGCAAATTTGGCCTTAGCCTTGTAACTCTGCACATAGGCAGAGATTTCATGAAGAATTAGAATCCTTGTAGGGATTGCCACAGTGACCCATCAAACCTGATTAGGGCCTTCGGGCATTTCTGCAATCTAGTAAAGAAAACAATCATCCAAGACGACAGTTCACATGCATGGATAATTTTAACATAAACAATTAGTTTGCTAACATAGTCTGAAATACAAAATTAAAACCAGAATGCTGACCAAAGACAATGCAACAGATTATAAATTAGTACACCAACATTTTCTGTTTACATTAGACCACCCAGATTCAAAGAGGCAGATAAATCTTCTCCTCTTGGCATATGATCTGCTTTGTCAAGAAGGAGGACACAATAAGAACTCATGTTCTCGCAAAATCATACAGTCATTGACAACTCAAATGGAAAACTAAGCTGCTAGGGAATGACTGTAATAAAGTCTCATACAGAGCCTTTTCCTGAAACCTGATGTGATCATTTTAAGATTTTTGGTAAAAATACGTGCTTTTAAGTAGCCAACATAGTACTTACACTGGCACAGAGCAGCCTTTTCTGAATACTCTATGGGATACACAATATCATAGTGGTTTCCATTTGAGAAGCACAGCAATACCTATTAAAAAAACCACACAGATATTTTAGGGTTTGCATCTCACTTGCTTTTTCATATGACCCACCTTTTAAATTCAGTTTAATGTGCCAATGCGCTTTGTTATCTCTCAGGATCTCAAAGTATCAATAAAACAATGAAAATCTTTAGTGGATGTCCTTTAAACCAAGAAGAATTTGACCCAAAGTCAGGAGGAATTAAACACAAGAGGTAGCTATGTGAGTTAGCACTTGTAAATTTATTGTTACAGAATTTTAGATTACTAGGAAGATATACCACACCTCAAATATGGGCCATCTATTTTAAAAGGGCTGCATGTATTAACAGAATAGCTGCCTTAAATATGTACAAAAGAAATTGTTAAAATTGAATTCTCAGAACATTTTTGTGTGTGGAATAATAAATGAAAATACTTCCTGTTTATAGTCTTAATTCAGCCCTTCACAATAGCCATTTTTTTTTTTTTTTTTTACCTTATCAGAAAAGCCATTTTCAGTTACATGTGAAGGAGAAGCATTTGGTTCCCGATATATTATGAAATCTTTCCTGACAAAAAAGAAACAGTTAAGAATTAATTTAAAAATTAATATGAATAAAAACTGGAATATTCAAGTCAAGTTCAAAGAACATACATAACCACAGAAAACACCTAGTGCAAAAGAATACTGAAGAAGATGAGTACAACTATCACTGGTCAAAAAAAAAAAAAAAGGCTTACTTTTATGAAAGAATACACTAGGATAAGATGTGCTGGCACAACATGCACAGAGCCAATGACAAGTAAAACAAATTTCCAGACACCACTTTCTGGAGCTGTGTCTAGAAAGATGATGGCTCCCCAGTCCTGAAGAAATTCATTACACTTTGCCATTTGGAAACCAACCAGAACAAAAAGGAGGTTGGTTTTATGAACAGAGACAGGAAAGAGTGATAAGTTTCCAGAAGGTAAGCCATGGCTTAGGCTAAAACCATACTAGCCGACTGATTACATGCGCATGAGAACCTTTTTGGGCACAGAGGCCAGCTACCAGAACAGCCCATGCCTGTGCTCAGAAACTCTTCTTGCCTCCCAAACCAAGTTCTCGTGCTCAGAAGGGTCCACACAACATTTCTGCTCCCAAAGGGTAGCCCAGCTGCCACAGCATGCTAAGGAACATGCCAAAAGCCCAACAGACCATCAGCAGCCATTGCCTGAGGATCCGATATTGTAACCAAGTCTCCAGCACCTCTGAAAATCATGCCCTCCACATGCCCCAGTTTTTTCACGTGTAGCGAGAAGAATCTTTTCCTGCAGTTTAAAATTGATAATACACTGGGGGGGGGGGAAGACATTTGGAGGGCTCAGTTTCCCTTTCTCTTTGGATAAAGACTATGAAGTGTGGATTCTAACACCATGGCGTGTTTGCTAGACTCGAATTGCTGGATTTAAGATGGCAAAGAAACCCCTCTGTTGTCTCTTCAACTGAGAGAATGGAAACAAACTTTTAGGGAAGCTTGGACCAAACCAGCAGATAGCGTGCCATTGCAGTGTTGGCAGACAGATACTCATCATCAAGGGTATAAGTCTAGTGTAGTTTTTCAAAACAGGTTTAGAAAATTTTTAATCACTGCAAACTAAGTTTGCGTACCTCATTACATTTAAGAGGATTAAAAATACAATAAATGAAGAGTTGAACTACTACAGTTAAGCAAATTTAAAATTTACATTCCACACTTATAATTCTTTTTTTAGCTTGTTAGATTAAAAAGCATAAAAAGTTGAACTGGATATTAAGTGACAAATACAGAAAAACCCACAACTGATACTGACGTGGCATGCTATTTTATTTTTTTTATTTTCTAAAAACTGAAAGACTATCAGTCTTTGCTACTTGTTTTTCTGCTATAATCAATCTCTGTCATGATCTTAAATTTAATTATTTTCTCTCTCTTTTATCCATAATCCTCCCTTTGAATTCTTTGCTCAGAAACCTATCACTTCCTTCAACTTCTTCCTTGCTCACACAAGCAGTTTTTAGTCTTGCAACATGTTTAAATATATTCACAGGTGCAGTTTTTGTATTAAAAAAAACTCAGAAAAAGCAATTCTGAGAGGAAAAGAATTTCATAGCTCAGAGACCCACCCACTTCAGAGAGGCAAGGAAAATTTACTAGATAACCAAATGATACTTGTGACAGATCTGAGGAGTGAAAGTGAAAACAAACCTATTCATACTACACTTCTATGCTACACTTGAAAAGCCTGAAACTCTCATTTCTCCACTTGGCACAGAACACGAAATTCAAACTTCTGCTTTTCTTCAGTCTGCCAGCACGCAGGAAGGAAAGCAACTCCTTCCCCCTACCTCCACCACCATTCCTACTTTGCCAGAGCCTCTAAATTGCCTTTTTAATAACAGCCAGTCTTCCCAAAACAAGTATGCCAATAACAATTCTTGCGTGTTCAACTCTGCAGTGAAATACTGCGTACAGTTGCAACTATGCCACAAGCCTCCTCATGCTTCCAATGGAAATTAAAAAAATACTATTATCAACCAGGATTTGTCTCTCTATTGATTTATCAGCTGTGGTCCTGGATACTGATGTATCATGACTTCAAAATAAACTGTTTCTATTTCATGAGAATACATTTCTCATGGCCAGAAATACAACAAACAGAAGATCACGACCAACCAGTTCCGACGTAATTAAGTCAGCAAAATTGCATGCTTGACCTGAGTTACGTCCCTCTACACCCTGGCTCAATCTAACCATCACACCTTCCCTCCAAGCCTCCTGAGCCAAACTTTACTCCGACTTTCAGTTCGGTCCTCATCCACCCATGCAGCACATGCAACTCTAAACTGTCCCAGTAACCACATAAAATGCAAAGATAGAATTTCATGCAATTTCCCGCACTTAGCACTCATTTAAGTACCTGAAAGGAATATTTAATTAGTTTGTTTCTCTCCTCTTATCATATGTCTCATCAAGAGTCAAAGGACAAAGTCACTAATTTACAGTAAGCATTTTGAAATACTGAATTTAACCAGTTTACAAAGAGCAGAAAGAGATGCTGTACATTGCTCATTCCCTTTCACAGTAACTAAAAAGCAATTATGAATATTCAGAACATTGTTTCATACTATTTTGTGAAGAAAGATTAATATATAGGATTACATTTAATAAAAAGACATCAGCAAAAGCCTTCATCACCAAGAGGAGTGTTTATCTATGCACAGATACTGAAATATTTCTTAAGCATAGCTCAAGCTATGGCCCTCAGAAAACTCGTACTATTTCATCTATACTGATACAATGGAAAAAGGAAAATTTATAGAGAAAAGAGAATAAGCTACAGCAGTACACCAGGTAAGTCTTATATCAGCACATATAACCTCCCACCAGGGAAGATGAGAGAACGGCCTTCTAGCATGCAGACTACAATACTCGTACCACTAAGCTACATCAGAGCATTTGTACAGAGGTAATAAAGAAATGGGTACAGGCCACGGCTTAGCAATAGAGTTAATATTAAAGCCTTGGCAAGAAATAGAAAGAAAAGCAATTTTAACAGAAAAATTAAGATATGAAAATTAACAAAATATAAATGGTATGACTCTACCCACAGTTAGTTGTGCAAGTCAGATGCATGACATTACTGCAAACCTCTATTCAAATCCCAGATTAAACATCATTTTCAAAGCTCACTTTTCTATTTTTATTTAATACCTTGACAGCTGCAATCTTCAAAGCCTATTTGTAATTTTCTGGAGAACTGCAGTATAACATCCAATTCCATCTTAGCTATTCCAACTAATTTACTAGCAAAACAACTGAACTAATCTCAAATATGTTTTAGATATGTTTAACATGTTTTATTAACATATTTAAAGGTTTTCTTACTTGTACATAAGAGAAAGGGCACTTATTTCTACTTGTCCAACCCATTCCTGTATTGGAAAAAAAAACAAAAGAAAATTAAGTTCAAACACACAATTATTATACTTCCTCAGGTGTAGATCAAGAGAAGCAAGAAATCATTGTCGAAAATGAATATATTAATACTGAGTCTGGAGTTCAGCAGACACACTTTGATTGCATTTGAAGGCTTTTTTGAAATAACAGTAACTATTCCAAGTAAGGTGGTTAAGGGGTACAAGCCAGAGGGATTTTTTTCCCAAACTAGTTTTCACACAGATACATTTCTGAGAGAACTAAAACCAATCACATAAATGCAGATCTATCATTAAAAGACTATGATTTTGAGAGGTGATACAGTGTTTTTATTTTTTTTTTCTTTTGTTAAATTTAAACCAGCGGTCTAGCTTTTCAAAAGTGATTTTTTTTTTTTTTTTTAAAAGTGAGTGTCAGATTTACCAAGTGCTTTTAAAAATGTTACTCTCTACCTTCAAAACTTTCTGGTTTTGTGGACCTTTAGCTATAGATGAACTGGAAAAAGAATCTTGAGGCTTAACTCTCATGACTAAAACACATATAACTTCCATACAATTATCCTGACACAGTCTTGCGAAGTGCTCCAACACAAAGTAGACAGACCACTTCCAAACAGCCAAAATAAACTTGTGACAGTTAGTTGCATTTCTCATGCAAGCAGCTGTATATCAATACCTAAAGAAAGACAAAAAATCTGCCCTTTAAAGCTGTTCAACAGTGAAATGTCAGCAACACTGTAACCCAGACTCAAATCCTAGAAAAGTACAAGTTGTTGCTTCCATTACCAGCCTAACTACTGTACTGTGATCCAGTATAATGTGACTAGACCTTTCTTAGGTGGTTTTTGGTGGTGGTGGTGGTTTTGTGGTTTGTTTTGGTTTGGGGTTTTTTTACTTTTTTTTTTTTTACTTTTTTTTTTTTTCTTTTCTAAATTCGTATTAAATTAAAAACAGCTCTTAATTTTGGTGCAGGAATTTGTAGCAGTCCCGATTTTTTTAAACCATTTTTTAAATTCTCATGACAATTTTAAAATCTAAAATAACTTAATATTAATTTCTCTGATCATGTAAAAAAGCTACTGTATTATTTTTCAAAACTATTTTTTTTGAAATATTAGCAGACATGTATGAAAGACATTTTCTCTACACACACATTGCTGTGCTGTAAACCATTTACATTGGCATAGTTCAGTGCAGCATAAGTTCTGCTGGAAAACGGCATGATTTACCACTTAGCATAGCGCATAACCTCAGGATTTGACTAACAAAGCTTTGCAATTAAAGATCCTAGAATAAACAAAGCAAGACAGAAGCATAATAGGCTAACACCCATGTTCTTCCCCCTTCTACCATTCATTTTGGAAACTGAAATAAAGAACCATCTGGTTAGCTATTCTAACTAGGGATGCTGTAGGCATGGCAGGGGAAAAAAAAATAAAAATCATGCTTTAATTTCTAGGAGGGTAAAATTTAATAAGGTTTATGTACAAACACTTACAAAAAATTAACAGATTTTGCAATGTTGCAGTAGATAGTCCTCTTCCCCTCCCCTCAGCTTACACGAATTTTTAACTCCCTAAGAAAAATACTAAAATTAAATGGGGAGGGGGATAATAATTTTACTTCAAATCAGTATCTTTCCAAGAGCCTGGGGCTACTATTCATAACATCCCTTACATCAATAACTGTCTTTTCCTCACCTAAACTTTTAGGCCTTTATTCAAGGCTGTCTTCAAGAAAACAGCCACACTATGCTTGTTGGCATTTGCAGAGGCTAGAAATGTTTGGATACAATTTTGAGGAATAACAGGTTTAAATCAAGAAACAAAAAATTCTCCAAATCATTTTCAATAGAGAGTACATGCATAAAAGTATAAACATTCACATAAACCTAAGACCTCAAAAACATTTGTGAGAAAAAAAAAATCCAATTACCCATCAACAAAAGTAGTGCTTTCTATTATAAATCAAGTTTAACGTACCTGTGGATTTTCCAAACATTTTAAATACTCTTCAAATGGCCCCTCTATGAACTGTATTTAAAAAAAATAAAAGTAACAATTAGTTATTTTTATTACTGTAGTATACGGAATCCCCGGTCTATGACCCACTGTAGCAATGGGAACATACCATTGGAAATTTAAGACTATCCTGCCCTCAAAGAGCTTACAATCTAAGTATAAAGTGATGTAGAGATGAGGGAATAAATGGTCAAACATATAGGTGTGCATTCCAGAAAATAACCACATAAACAGCTTTTAGAGTTATCACACAACCCGAAACAAAAACAAACAAACAAAAAACCCAAAAAGAAATCCAGCAGCCAAACAGGAAATCTGAAAGAAAGCAAAGATGGTGTCAAGTAGATGTTTACAGGCAATTAATCCCAGGCGTGCACAGCATCACTTGAGAACATGCGTGGGCTTATTCAAGTATCCTGTTAAATGAGCAGCAATGGACAATCAGAAATGGGAGTCACATTTCTGTAGCACCCAAGAAGCAGTAAAATATAGCATAGGCAAATCACAGAGCACTTTTTCCTCCTTTCTGTATCACTTCAAACAAACTGCTTTTACTTTCAGTGAAAGGGTACAAACAATCAGGCTACACTAAGTGCCAGGTTAAGAAAGTAATCCTTCAGCTGCACTCCTTAACACGCATGAAGAGGCCAAATTCACATTTGTCAAGGCCAGAGAAGGATGCTGCAGTAATTGAGACGTGTTAACTTCAAAGTGTTTCAGCCATGCTGGCCAACAGAGAGGCTGTATTTAAAAAATGCTATTTAGACATAATCTGCTTGATTTAGTTAAGATCCAAACTTTAGTTAAGAGGTCCAAACAAAGAATTAATTTCCTTTATGAACTTAAGCTACAAGCTAGGTGGCCTCTTTACCCATAGTGATTAAGAAATAAGGTATAAATGAAAACCGAGTAGTGAGATTAAAAGTTCTGCTTTAGTCATTTTGGACCTGGATGGACACTGTTGTTCATGAGAAGAACCAACAAGTCTGGCCAAAATTTTTAATTTAGACAGAAGCAACCAGGTAAAAAGTTAAAAGGTGGATCAGTAAAACGTGATCATAGACAGCAGTTGTTTTGTGTGTCAAAATTAAATGAGCTAAAGATAATGCACAGAGGAAGGAAGGAGAGGCACCAGAAAGTTCTCACAGGAAACTGAAGAGTTGAAAAAGAGGAGGAAAGACAGCAGCAAAGATAACACTTCAAGAAAGGATGAGGATGAAAATGAAGATGGTGGTTACACACAGTCACCTGAAACTTGGGTTATAGCAGTATCAATGGAATGAGAGAGACAGAAATCCAAGCTGAAATGGTTACAATAGACAGAGAGAAGAGGAACTTCAATGAGTACCACCAGCACACATCAACAGAGCGTAACTACTAAGAAGGCAGACGAGCAAAGAGTTGAACTAAGAGGCTAGGGAGAAAGGCATTTGTTGTTTGTGTTGTTTTCGGGGTTTTTTAAGACAGGTAAGTTAACAATGCTATATTCCAGATGGAAAACAAAGTATAGTAAGAGATATGGGGAGCAAAGGAGATCAGCAGAGCTGAAGTGAGGTACCTGAGGAAGCAGGAACACTAGGAAATGAGAACAGATATGAAACACCTCAACATTGTACATGAAACACCTGTTCTGAAAAATGGCAAAAAACTTTAAAAAAAAAAAACTTTTCAGAAGGACAGCAAAAAAGAAAAAAAAAAAAAAAAAACAGTGAAACTGTAGGAGAGAGACCAAGATAGTAAAACCAGCCAGCGTTGACAAAGAAGTTACCCGGCTGAGAGGATGCCAGAACTGGGGAGGGGAAACGACACACATCTAGAGTCAAGAAGGGTCACAGTATTTCCAAAAACTACCCAATGCAACAAGAAAACAGAAGTAGAGAAGCAGATATTGGAGTGAGTGGGGTAATTCTGGAAAGAAAGGGATTAAAAAGTCAGCAGTGAAAAAATAAAATAAAAAAGAAGGGAGAGAGATCTAAGAGTTGATAAGTCCTCAGATGGACTGGAAACAAGCACACAGTCCTGGCAAAGGGAAATAGGCAAGTCAGAGCTGCATGCTCCCACAGAGATTCACTGTATTTTATGTCATTCATTCTTGACAACTTTCACATTAAAAGCAATCAGTAACATTTGAGCACAGGGGACTTTGTCAGAAATTATAGCAAACACACACTCTTATTCCTGCTTTCCTTCTCTTCCCTATGCTAATGTGCATCTAAAACAGCCTTTTTATTTTGGATCCAGGTAAATTTAGAACAGAAAGAGAGCTGAGTAATAATCCTCTAGTAACAAATGCTTACACATACTCCCGTTTCGGCTATCCTGGAAATCAGTTAAATAGCATATACACTAGAACACATACATACACAAACAGGAGCACCATTATTTATTATTGTTCTTCAAAAAGGAAGAAAAAAAAGGATTTTATAATATTAACACTGAAAACATTGGCCAAATATAGATCAATATCAAAATATTTTCTGTCTATGGTTGATGGAGAACTTCGTTACAAATGTTTACAAAAAAAACCAACAAAACAACAAAACCACAGCGGCAACGCATAAGAAATTGTAGACCCTGAAACAAATTTCACTAATCTCATCAGTCAAATCCCTATATATTGTAAAAGCAATTAAATAGCACAGTAAGAACATTTTATGACCTTCACTAAAATAGGCATTATACTAAAATAAAATCCAGATTTTGGTAGCTCCGCTACAGACTATTAAAGTTTAAGAAAGTTTGTTTTGTTTTTTAATGAGCATTAAAAAACTCTCCCCACTCCACTAATCCTCCAGTCCAAGCAGTATATAGGTCTTTCTCCAGGCTTATGAAAATGAGTTATTACCACACATGTGCCAATTAATTTAAAGAGCGCTCAATTTAAAAAGCATCAACTAGTACATAGCTATGCTGAATATTGTCACAAACAGCAGCATATACCTTAGAAAAGTGGAAGGATTAAAGTAACATTTTTTCAAATGCTCACAAAGAAAACAAAAATACTTACTGCTTCAAATTTCTCCCTATGTTTCCGAAGGTAGTCTACACAAGCCATCCTAACATCAATATGCCGAGACTGAGAGTGTAACACCTACAAAGGGAGAAAGAGAAGAAAGTGACACTGGTTCTGAGGAGTTTTGATGATGGATCACAAATAATTAATGACTGTTGTCTAAATACGGGGTTGGAAATACTCTAGTATTATTTTTGGGAATATTTAAAATGCATATTCGTTCAGTAACAACATCTTTATGCAGGTAAAACCCCAATTACTTAATAAAAAATTAAGTTAACTGCAGAATCCACAGATTTACTAAATTCAAACATTCAATTTTATAGGGATTTACTGAGCGAAATGAACAGCATTTTTTGTCATTCTTTAACTGAGTCCTTTGTAAAGGACTTCAATTAATGGAAGAAGTAAGGTACTGCAGGAGCGGGTGAGGAAATCAACGGCCAACATGCACTTGTTCAAATGAAATCCAACCAAATCTAACAGAGTGCACATTTACTTTCTCTTGACTTCTGGAGGTGTAGATCTGTTGCCCAAAAACTGATTTGGAAGCCAGGAATTCAGATCCCAGTATGACACCTGCATTCTATCTCCTGTTCAAATCTCTACTGGAAAAACACGACTTCTACCATAGGTTCAGAGTTATCTCTAATGCGACTTTGCATCCTCACTACTAGGGAAGTTCTAGTCAGTTTAAGTCGCAGCCTCTCTTGCAAACCTTACACACTAGCCTCCATTTAGAACACTTCCAAATTCGGATCAGTTCAGGTTTTCTGCGTGAAGAATACAGAGATTAGGCCAAATTTGTGGATAAACACCTACTAACTCTGAATTAAAGACCTTTCCTTCAATAAAATAAGAATGGTATGTTAAAAATTTAATTAATAGTTGGAAAAAAGTTCCATATACACTGGAGTGTGGGAGAAACCTTCTCTATGTATTAATTAAAAAAAATCAGAGTATCAATGTATATTCATTGATTATTCCCTTGAAATAAAAAACCCCACTCACATCAGATCAACAGTGTTTGCTTGCCTGAACTTACAAAGTCAGTGGGGAAAGTAATTTTTAAAAAAAAGTTAACTGTGTATAATTAGCACAGGAATCTGGGCTCCCACAATCAGAAGCACCAGAGCTCCCACTGCTGTTTGTTTGTATTTAAGACAAGATGACGCTGTCACTTTTTTCCTTTATCAGTAACACTGAAATGGGGGAGGGGAATTCAACAGGAAGAACTGAAAATAAATTACTCACTTTCTCTAATTTTATAGTAAACTGATTAACAAAACTACGAATGCGGCGGCTTTTCAGCTCTTGCCACTAAATTCTGTTTCCTGAACGGTCTCATACAAAGCAGTTGTACCCAAATGTTGAAATCTTACGCTGAAAAAAAGCTTTAGGGAGGCAGCAGAAGGTCAAAACAGGTAACAATTTCTTGATGACAGAAGGCGGCTTTACACACAGAACTTCTCCCGCCTCACAAGACAGAGATATTTTTTTTTCCCCGGCACAGGACTGCGTAACCTTAACCTATACTTGTCTGCATGTTAACGCTAATTATCATCCACTAACGAGATCCACTTCCCAGGCTTTCCTGAGAAGTAGCTTTGTTTATGTAAGCAGTTACCTGCTCGGCCACAGCCCTGAAAAGACAAGATCCATCCTTGGCAACTCTCTTTCTGTACAAGCCCTGAGATCGCAAGTAGCAGTCCATAGAAGCGTCCCCAGGGGCGTCCATGCCGCTGCCTTGATGACTCTGCTCCCCGCCGTCGGGTCTGCACGCCGCCTCCATGTTTACCGCTTCACACCGTGGAGAACCGCCGCCCCTCTCCTAGCCCCACATGGCAAGGTAAGCCCACCGAGCAGCTCTAGGGCCGGGTAAAGGAAACAGCGGCAGGTGGGGGAGGAGAGCGCTGGCCCCCCCCAGCACTCGAGGTAGCGGCAGCAATAAGAAAAGCGGCCGGTCTCACGTTATCAACTCGCATGTGGGAATCGCGGGGAGAAACGGCAAAGTTTTGCTCCGCAGCCTGGACTTCCAGCTCCACAAAACCGTCGCTTCTAGGCTTCTCTAGAGGGCCGGGCAGCAGCCCCCGGACACGGCTCCGGCGGGGTCCCGATCCCGCTTCTCCCTCGGGGCGGCGATTCCCGGCGGGTTCCGCAGCCCGGGCGCGCAGCCGGCCTGCCAGGCGGAAAACAAAAGAGAAAGGACATGTGCTCCCGCCGCCGGGGAGAGGAGGGGAGGGGAAGAGAGGAAGAAAAAAAAAAAAAAAAAAAGGCAGCGTAACCTGGCGTTTATTTTCACTTTCAGCCCGGGCGCTTCTGGGAGCGGTAGTCCCGGCGGAGGAGGAAGAGGAGGGAGCCGGGCCCCCCCCGCCTTCGGGGTACTCAGGGCTTGGCGGTTAGCCCCGCACCCCGTCAGGCTCATGCCATTCCCTAACAGCTTTTTTAGTTTTGTAAGTAACACCGGGATGTCTGACACCTAATCCATAGGTATGTGGGGGCTGTGGCTTTGGTTTGGGTTGGTTCGGGTTCTCCCCTCTCCCCCCCCCCCAAAACAGATTAGATTGTAAGATTATTTTTGAAATCCATCCACTTGCAGGAAAGAAGATGGAAATAAAACTGGGATAGTAAAAGGAAGCTTAATTAAAAAGGGATTTAAAAAAAAAGCCATAGCCATTCAATACTTTTTTTTTGTACACCGCTCTTAGTGGTAAGAAGCCACAAATATTTTTATTACAATTGCATGACTAAGTTTTGCTTGGCATTGTAAACATTCTTCAGAAGAGTTTGGTGCACAAAAAGTGACAAGAAAGGAAGCTTTCCAAACTTCCAAGGCTTCTTTTACTGTGGGTGTGTGACTTACCTAGGAGGGAGAGCTACAAAGCTCTCAGTAGCTCTAGCAATAAATAAAATGCTACCAGCTACTCCTTAGCTTAAATGAACAAATTTAGATGCAAGAAAGGGAGGCAAAGAGAAGGAATGAAAACCCCGATTTTTACTTTCAGCCAACAGTAATAAGACCAGGGAGGGCAGTGACTTGAGCTGAGATCTGGATATAACAACAACTGATTGAATAAGCAGAAGTTACAAGCCAGGCTGAGTCTAGTGCTCCAGCAGCTCTGTACAAGCAGTATCAAACCCCCTTTTCCTAACAGAAGCCCAGGTCTGCCAGCAAGGAGTTGGTCTACTGGAAAACAAAAGGAAATTCCTGGCAATATCTATAGACAAGAATAGAAACTGAGAGAAGTGGAAGTAAAGCCCTCATGGCATCTGAACCTCCAAGACACAGAGAGCTGGTTAGGCAGCATGAGGATGTTTGGGAGAAGGAGCATGAGGTAAAAATACTAGCGAGGGGCTGGAGGGAAAGCTCAAACCTCTCACCAGAAGATGGGAAAGGTCATCTAACAAGACTGAACTATAAACTGCCACTGACTCAGCTACCATATTCACTTAAGAAAGTCAGACTAGCACAGTCCTGCATGTGCGAGGTGCTGCTTCTGTAGATAAAAGTGATTTGGCAAGATGCTTTTGAGACCTATCAAACTAGTGTCCAGTTACAGAGTTTCTTAGGAACATTCCATTTTTCCTCACCCTATTTGTCACAGTTAGAGACAGAACTATCCTCCAACACGTTCACAAATTTGTCTTCCCTTATATTTCAGCCTTTTGTCACTGTGATTCTAAAGGCCAGTTAAGGGAAGGGCAAATGCCTTTCATCACATCTGTTAGATTCAGGAATGCCTATACACATGAGGTCATCCAGTATGTGACAGAATGTAAATGTAGTTCTGGTAAGTGAATACACTGAGAAAATTAAAGTCATATAGTTGTCAGTTTCCTAAAAGCCTGCTCTTTTTGCAACTGACTCCTGAAGACAATCAAGCAATGGTGACCCACTGATTTTTTTTTTTCCCCAAGTACTGCTGTACAAGAAGCAATCTATTTCTAAAGAGGTGAAGTCCTCACTGAAGAAACCTAGCCTGTACGCACACACTTTCTAAGGCATAAGGAGAAATGCATCCACCAAGAGACGTCTGAAATACCTCAACATTAAAATAAATGCTCCATCAAGATAAGAATGGCCAAATTATAACTCATAAGTTATTACAGATGTTCTAATTAGCCAGTAGCTTTATTAACACTTTCAGCCAGCACTTCTACCACAAGCAGCAGCCCCAGCCACTAGTTCCTCCTCTGCACCAACCTCTGCTGCCCACACAAGCACTTCTGCTGCTCATACACTGAATCAGCTCAGGAAGCTGACTCAAGCTAAACAAAAAAAAAAAAAACCACCACAAGAAAACCACAGCAACTTTTTTTTTTTAAACCAAGACTAGTTTTGTGATTCAGTTCACGGCCTGCCTGTGCCAACACCTGGGCCAGCAAGGGGGGGGGGCAGCCTGTACTCATCAACCTTGGAGAGAGGAGACCAGTTTTCGCCCAGCTTCACCGCCCGCCCTTTCCCGCCTCAGACAGCGCCGCTTCACCAGAAGCCGCCTCCCAGCCCGCAGCTCTGGCATGGGCGATTCGCCACAGGCCGGGGGACAAGCACCCGGGCAGGGGCGGCCCCTCGGCCTGCAGCCCGGCGGCTCTCCGGCGCAGCAGCAGACCCACGAGGGCCCCTCTGCCTGCCCGGCGGCCTTCCCTGCGCGGGCACACGACCCGCCACCGGGGCTGTGGGGCCGGACTCCCCGCCCGGAGGGGCCGCGGCGCGGTCGCGGCCCGCACCCTTCCCCCCCCCCATCACTGACTGGCACTTACCGGCGGAGGGGCGGGCGGGC